CTGCTGTTCTGGCCCCAAAATTATGTTATATTGTCTAATTCATGCTAATATTAAAATATCTGTAAAAGTACATGAACATAAATGACCAATCATATGTATCTTGTTTGTTGTTACAACCATATTGACAGGAGGAAGGAAATGAACAAAGACTGAGTTGCAGAGTCTCATATTGGAGTCGTTTATCTCTAGCAGATGGTGTCAGGGTTGAGGCATATTGGGTAGGATACAAGAACCAGGAGCTGTGGCTTCTGGTGGGCATGTGGGTGGCCACCACAATGACTCCAGTGACACCACAAGCATACCTTGTGCCTCAACTGGGAGTGCACCTCTGCCCCCAGCAAGCACGTGGGAAAGTCCCACCAACCTCGGGTGAGCATCACAGGTAGAAAAGTGCTCACATGTGTGCAGCCTCCAGTCATCACAGCATCATTGACAACAACAATGAAGAGAAGGAGAGGAAATAAATGTAATAAGATAAAAGTAACTAAAACATGCAGTTTATAAACACAGGCTATTCTGTGAAGCAGTGCAAAGAGCATTTTGACTGCATCAAACTCTTGCAGATTTTTTAATTTATTTTTTATTTTTTAATTAAAATATTCTTTTTATTCTATATTTTTATTCTATTTAATTTTTATAAAGTAGTTAAAATAAAAATATTTTTTACATTTAATATTAGAACACCAATCTCATCACCATAACACTTTCCCATCACCATATTTAGGATGGTTGCATCTTAAACCCCAACCCCTGCCCAAAAGAGGAATCAAGATAATTCATTTTGTATTGTATTATTTGTTATGATAAACCACTGAAAATGATCCAAAAATCTTTCCTTAGAAGACTGTGTGTGATGATTGTTGTATTTCATCCAGGGGCCTTTAGCCCTTTTCTAAGACATTACTAACACGTTAAAGATTAAGCCTTGTGTACATATATACATATCTGTAAAAATATATTTCCCTCTATGATTGGTTGCCTTCTACTTTAAACCCCACCAAATGTGCTGTGGTACTCTTGGAATATTAGTGGTGTAAGGCAAGACATGTTGGGTGGCTACAAATGTGGCTGTGCATCGAGGAGAAAGTTTATTCATGGGTGAGTCTCGGCCAGAGCGAAACACTTGCAGCTAGAGGCAATTGACCCTTGTCTGTAAACTCAAGTTAAAATTTACAATGAGATATTATATTCCCATGTATTGTGATATGTTGTGGGTCACACAATCTCTGGGATATAGAATGCAAAAATTTAAAAAATAGAAAAACACTCTGGATTGGGAAGATAATATAGGTGTTAGAGGGAGTCTGAGTGACCGTACAGGGGGAGGCAATAACCTTTAATGTGGTCAACTTGGATCTGATTCCCATATGGTTTCCTGAGCCTGCCAGGAATGATCTGTGAGTGCAGAACCAGGATTGCACCCCCCTTCCCCATAAAGCAACAAAAGAGTTAGAGGTGCCTGTTCTGCTCTCTGGGACCTGGTAAGATTCCAGCACCTCTTGACCACCTGATACCAGGCTGTAGTCTTGGAAGCCCCCAAGGTGATCCTGGTGGTCTGAGGCACCTCAGGGCCAGAGAAACACTGAATTGTTGGACCCAGAATTGAACCATCTGCTAGATTGACCTGGTATCTCTGGGATGGGCCCCTCAGCCCCAGAGCACAATTAGGAGTTTCCCTGGCCCTTGGCCCTTAATATATAACAGGGGTTGCACAACTGTTCCTCATATATTGTGGGGTGGTATTTGTTGTTGTTTGGGGGCTACACCTGGCTGTGCTCAGGGGTTACTCTGGCTCTGCACTCAGGAATAACTCCTTGGTGGGTTCAGGGAACCATATCGGATGCCATTATTATTATCAAACCTGGGTCGGTTGTGTGCAAGAAAATTACCCTACCCCCTGAACTACCTCTGCGGCCCTTACATTATGTTTTTTTTTATCATTCCTAAAACTATTTTTTATTAGTCTGTAATAAGCTCCATAAAATAGTATCTACATATACATTTCAGGGATCGGATAAACATATGCAAATTTAAGCAAAACGAGTGCATATAAATACTTGTATTTGAAGACAAATTTAAAATTTGTTTTTAAAGTAGGTTAGAATTCATCTCAGATTCTTTTATTTATTTATTTTTTGAATCACCGTGAGAATAGTTACAAAGCTTTCGGGTTTATGTCTTGGTTATACAATGATCAAACATCCATCTCTTCACCAGTGCACATTTTCCATCACCGAGAACCCCAGTATACCACCATTCTACCCTTCCCCCTGCCTGTGTGGCAGATGATTTCCACTTGACTCTCTCTCCACTTTGATCACATTCAATATTACGACAAGAGACCCACCATTATTATTTGGAATTTTTCCCAACAGTCAGAACTGCCAAAAAGGCATCATTAAATAGTTTGTTTTCGATTGTTGATTATGAAGAGCGTATGGTGTCTCAAGACTGCTATCACTGCTCTGTGATTTTGCAATTCTGCTATTTCAACTATTAAGTCTGGAGGGATGTCTTCCAAAAGCCACTGGGTTGCGAGATTGGTTTGTGTGCCTCTGGGATCATGGCCATTAAGGAGCTCAATAAGTAGCCAGAAGAGCTGTTTGTGGGCAGCAACTCAGGGTCTCGCTGGGGTGGGGGAGAAGGCCTTACATTATGTTTTTAAAGAATATTTTAAACATTTTTAGCCTACCACCTTTTTTTGTATTTCAATTTAGGAATATGGGTTTACAATATTGTTATTCATTCTTTCCATGCATAATATTACTCCAACCCCACACCCATCAACCAGAGAACCCACTTCCCTCTGCCATATCCCAAAGACCCCTCCGACTTACCCCCCCAATTAAGCTCTGTTCTATAAACAAAATCTTCACTTCTGTTTTGACAGTTATTATTCCCTTACTATATTTCTGTTTTTGGGTGGAGCTTAGGACTTACTCCTGGCTCTGCACTCAGGAATCAGTCCTGGCATTGCTCAGATTACCATATAGGTGCCAGGATCAAACCCAGATTCCATACATTGGGAAATACTGTAAAGTCCAACTTCAAATGCCTGCAGAATCCAGTCACCTCCATTATTTCACCTGTTCACACCCCAAAGCCCCCAACATCTCTTCCCTGGAATCTGCACCAGTTTCCCAGTTCCCTGCAGCTCATTGTCCCCTCACCTGTCCATCTGCACAGCAGCCAGACTGATGGACCCAGAGACAATCGCACCAGCCTGAACTTTCATTCAAACCTGCCTGTAGCTGCCCCTCTTAGATAAAAGACAAATCTTCCAGAGTCATAGCAGCCTCGTGACTTGAGGGCACCAGGACTTCATCTCAGTGACTGCTCCAGCCACACTCTTCTCTGACACAGACTCACGCCTGCCCTGGTGCATTTACACTGACAATTCCTGCATGGCCCCAGATACCCACACAGACAGACCCTCACATCCTTCCATATTTCCTCAAAGGTCACCTTCCTGTGGAGCCACACTGACCAGTCTAGAAAACAGTCACTGTCCCATTCCCCACACACTTAGAAGTGGGTCCCATTCCCCCAAGAGATTACCAATTTCAAACCAGAACACTCGCCTTGTTATTTTATTTTCAGCTGTAAGTCTGTCCCTTCTTACTAAATCTCAAATTTTGCCTGATTTTATTTTTCCTTTTTTATTGAATTATCATGAGATATAGTTACAAAGCTTTCATGTTTCAATCTTCACACTCTTTCCTAAAGGATACTTTTTTGTAGCGTTTTCATGATTTTTCATAACAAAAAATGGTTTTGCTTTGGGGTAGGGATTGAAATTCGGGGTAGAAACACCCTTAATATGGTTGTAAAAAGGTGTAATGGTGGTGGGATTGGTGTCTGAATATTAAATGTAATGACATATTGTGAACTATTTTATAAAAAACAAAACAAACAAACCACGCTTTCATGTTTGAATTTCAGTCATAAAATGATCAGATACACATCCCTCCACCAGTGCCCATTCTTACCACCAATGTCCCCCCTTTCCAATCCTCCCCTGCTTCCATGGCAGACAATTTCCCCCATACTCTCGCTCTACTTTGGGGCATTGTGGTTTAGTTTTGCTTGATTTTAATTCTCTGTTGTTTGATAGACCCCAAAATATCATCTCCATATCTGCACAGTGGGTAGATATAGTGTAGACTATAGTAGAGACACTGTCCTATTCATGCAACATCAACCAACATGCTGTGCTGTGGCAGCTACAATGTCTACTAAAAGTGACATCGATGTCACCTCCACTTTTATCGCAAGTTCTTCTCACCTCACTTTACCTCCCTCCCACATTAGCACCCCACAGCACATAGAACTTGCTCTCTTAGAAGAGGATCTTGGGTTCACAGATCCCCTAAGTTTGAAGGTATCTGAGAGTACTTTATAAATCCATGAACTCAGATCACAGACAGCACTGAGATTCCTAGAGCTTCAGGGTTGGTGGGAAGGCTGAATTCCAACATGGCAAGTCTGAAAATTTATCTCTCGATACCACAGAGGCTCCTGTGTGCAGGGGCCATGTTGGGTGTTGAGGGGACAGTGACAGACAAATGACACCTGAGGCTCAGAGATGGGGACACACACTGAAAGAATGAGCTATGAATGTGTGGACAAGAGAACAGGCAGCCTCCTGCACAGAAGCAACAAAGAAACACCCAGATGGGGCTGAGGAGCAGGTCCAGGCCTGAACCTAGACTGACCAACACAGAAGCCCTCACTGCCCACGGTCCTGGGACAGGATGAGGCCGGGTGTGATCTGAGTCCCTGTGGGACAACGTGCTGAGGGGCCAGGACGAGGAGCAGGAGAAATGACCCACACAGATGAGTGTCCACATCAGAGCCCACAGTGGCTAAGACAGAGACAGACTGGACATAGGTACGCCCCCCCCCCCCCCATCCACTCAAGTCTCTCCTGTCACATCTGGGACAGACTCAAATCAAAACAGAAAACACATGGAAGGTCTCAGGATTTCCATTTGTTCCTTCTCAAATTTCAGGGATTTCCTTTATTAACCCTCAATCCCACAAAGCAGGAATTAGAAAAATGCAAATCAGATGCTTATTTTAGTAAGGGAGAAACATTATTCAGGGAAACAAGAAGCTAACACAGATAGAGACAGCTAAATCCTGTCTCTGCTGGCACAGACCAGAGCATCAGGGAAGAGAACACAGGTCAGCGTGGGGAGGGCCTGGTGGGGAGAAGTGGGCCAGTCTCTCCCATCACGGTAAGTGGTAGGACACAGACACACTCAGGTCCCAGGGCAGAAAGAGAATCAGCAGTTCTTGAATCACAACATTGGGATGTGAGGAAACCCAGAGGGGCAGCTGTCTCACACTGTGGGAGAAAAGAATGAAGAGACCGAGGTGAGTCACAGAAGTGGTGACATCCTGAGCAAGCTCCCTGCATCCCTCTCAAAGAACCCCAAACCCAGTTCTGTTCCCTCTGCCCTTTCCCACCCAATCCAGCCTCCAGAGTCTCACCTATAGGATTTGTGAGAGACACATCAGAGCTCTGGGAACTGTCGCTGTCTAGGAAGGAACGAAGAGGCCAAGGTCAGAGCCCCAGGCATGGGACTAGAGGAGTAACTAGGTGTGCGAGAGCTCCCAATCTCTATCCCCAGGATTCCAGGGCCCCAGCCCTGCCCACACTTACTTGCAGCCTGAATGTATTGTCCTCCTTTCTCACCTCCGGGAAGGAAACATCCCAGGGACGGTCAGGAAGAACACTGGGTCCTGAGACCACAGAGCAGCTCTCTAGGCCCAAACCCCAGGACTAACCGGCCTGTCCTGGCGGTCTGTGCTTAGCAGGGACAGTTCCTGTGACCTGTGACCTTGGGAACCAGGTTCATCCCTAGGTTATGCAGGTGAATGTGTCTTTCACAAGCAAACCTGGGAGCAGCACACTAAGGGGGAGTGTGAGCAGCAGCACAGAGACAGGTGGAGCTACCGTTAATGAGGCAGTAGAATATTGTGGGGACCCCTGAAGTGGGGCAAGACTCAGGACCTGCCAGGTTGGGGACCTCTGAAGTGGGGCAAGACTCAAGACCTGCCAGGTTGGACTGATTCCTACCCACCCGCCCCCATCTTACCTGAGCGATTCCTCCTGCAGATCACAGTTCTCACCACAGCTCCAAAGACCACAGCCCCGAGGAGAGCCAAGCCAACAATGATGCCCACAGTGAGGATGCTGGACTGAGAAGGGGGTTCTGGGGAGGAAGGAAGGAAGGAAGGAAGGAAGGAAGGAAGGAAGGAAGGAAGGAAGGAAGGAGAGGGTCTGATCCCAGCCTCAGCCTGACCTTCAGCAGTTCCCCAGAGGGGCCAACCTTGATTCCCCTGAGAACAGGCTCTGTGCCCTGTCCCCCTCCTTACCCCATCTCAGGGTGACAGGCTCCGGCAGTCCCTGGTGCTGCACACGGCACATGTATCTCTGCTCCTCTCCAGAAGGCAGCACCACAGCCACCCACTTCTGGAAGGTTCTGTTGTCCCCTGAAGGCCTGGTCTCCACCAGCTCTGTGTCCTGGGTCAGGTCCTTCCCATCACGCTGCCAGGTCAGGGTGATCTCGGCAGGGTAGAAGCCCAGGGCCCAGCACCTCAGGGTGACCTCATGGTCAGAGAAGGGATGGCGGGTTATGTGTCTTCTGGGGGCTTCTGAGGAGGAAAAATGAGAAAATTCACACTTTGGGTCACTTCCATAATGGGGTTGAACAGGATCATTGGTTTGGAATAGGAGGTAAAAATCCAGACACAAACTTGGCTGGACAAACTAGATAAAATCCTAATTCTTTGGAAAGTTCTAGAAAAGAGTTTGGGTAGGAGGCTCAGGTCTCTCAGGAGACAGTGACTCTGGTCCTGCCTTGGGAGGAGGGTGAGTGACTGAGAGAAGCAGGAGTCAGAAAAAAGACCATCTTTGAGAGAGTTCACAGATGGCTGCCAGGTCCAGGGAACCCACATTCGTCATTTCAGAGAAGGTCGCCCCTCCCCCAGGGACACAGGGTCCTTCACAGTCCTGAGGACACAGGGTGGGCCTGAGGGGAGGACAAGTATCTCTGGTAGAGAGCATGGAAACCAGGCGGGTCCGTCCCTCTCCTGACTGAAGAAGGGGCGCTGGTCTGACACTGAACCCAGCTCTGTTCCCCCCTTGTGGGGTTCGGCCCGCCCAGGGGAGGTCAGGGGTCCTCACCCTCAGGGACCCGGTACCCCAGTACCTGCGCGCAGCAGCGTGTCCTTCCCTTTCTTCAGGTATCTGAGGAGCGAAGGCACACAGGTGTTCTCTAGGTAGTTCCTGTGGTCCTCAGCCGCACCCGCCTGCTCCCACTTTTGCTGGGTGATCCAAGCCTGCGTGCCCGCCGCCGCCGTCCAGGAGCGCAGGTCCTCGTTGAGGGCGATGTAGTCGGCGCCGTCGTAGGCGGATTGGTCGTACCCGCGCAGGAGGCGCCCATCGGACCCCACTTCGCAGCCGTACATCCTCTGAAGGGTGTGAGAGCCTGACCCGCCCCGCACAGATTAACCCCGAACCGAAAACGAAACCAGGCCCGGTCCCCGAGGCGCCCCTAGTCAAGGCCCGGGGCGGGTCCCTCAGGCTCGGGGACGCTTGGACCCGCCTCGGGCGACCCGGCCCGTCCCCGTGTTGGCTCGTCCCTGCCCGGCCGCGCTCACCCGCCTCGCTCTGGTTGTAGTAGCCGCGCAGGGTGTTCAGGTTCACTCGGAAAGTCTGTGCGATGTTCTTGGCTCTCCGCGTCTCCTCCTCCCAGTGCTTGGTTCGGTTCGGCTCCGCCCACAGCACCCGCGGCTCCATCCTCGGACTCGCTGAGTCGCTGTCGAAGCGCACGAACTGCGTGTCGTCCACGTAGCCCACGATAATGAAGCGTGGCTCCCCGCGGCCAGGCCGGAACATGGTGGTGTAGAAATACCGCAGGGAGTGGGGGCCTGGGGGAGGGGAAGGGGTGAGACCCGGCCCGGCGGGACCCACCGCCCCGCGCGCCCCAGGTCGTGGTGATGGGGGAGGTGGAGAGCGGGGGAAGGGAGACAGGAAAGCGGGGAGGGACCGAGAAGGGCGAGACTTAGGGGCGCGGGAGGAGTTGAAGGTTGGGGGGACAAGGAGGAACATTTGGAGGGCATCCGAGCAGAGAACCGGGGAAACTCTTTCTCGGGGGTCCTGCACAGCAATGCCTGGAAATTCCCACCCTTTTCCCCGCAACGAACCCCCTCCCGACCCCGCACTCACCCGCCCAGGTCTGGGTCAGGGCCAGGGCCCCCGAGAGCAGCAGCAGGAGGGGTCGCACCTCCCACATACTGAAGGAATCAAGTGGATTCTGACTCGCTCACGATTGCCGGCAGTTTAGAACCGGGAGCGTCGCGAAGGCTGATTGGCTGATCTAGACAGCGAAGCCCAATGGGAGTGAGGACTGGGGATGCGTCACGAGTATCCGGGCAGAAGTTTGACACAGGTTGAGGAGGGTGAAGTGAAACTCTGAGACCAGGAATCCCCAGGCCTCATCTCCTGCCCCCAACACCATCCTGGGGACACTGGGAGCCACACCTGGGGCCTGGGACTTCGCCCTCTCACCTGCGCCCTCACCTGATCTTTGTCACACTATGTCCCCGTGTCCAGGGCTGACACTGACTCAGGATTTTCCATGGTTTTCATTTCAGGGTCTCGCTAAATCTTACAAGTTCCTGAGGAGCCCAGAGATGCTTCTGTGTGTTCAGGTTATGCCTATCAGTGTTTGCCGTGGGAGGAATCTGAGTTAAAGCCTTTTATTGTTGGTGGTGATGAATTATTATTATTATTATTATTTTGGCTTTTGACCACACCAGGCAGTGTTCAGTTGTAACTCCTGGCTTTGTGCTCTGTGCTCAGGGATCACTCTTGGCAGGTTCATGGGACCATATGTGGTGCTGGGGATCAAACCCATGTTGGCCACTTGCAAGGCAAAGCACCTTACCTTCTATAATATCTCTCCTGCAGAGTTCAAGTCTGAAAATGACTTCAATGGGAATAATATTAACAACAGATTAATGCGAACAGGATATCTTTTGGGGGTCCAGAGATCACACCCAGTGAATCTCACTGGCTCTGTACTCAGGAATTACTCCCGGCAGCACTCAGGGGAACATATGGGATGCAGGCAATAGAACCTACATCTGGCAAGGTGCAAGGCAAGCACCTTACCTGTTATACTACCTCACCAGCCCTAGAAAGTCTTTGAAGAAAAACCATATTAGATTTTTGTCAGGGAACAGCCCCAGCTGAACAGGCCTGATCCATGGACACCATGAGGACTAAGAAAGAGGCAGAAATGGGAGCGAAAAGCATGCAGTGAGGGGCTCACAGCCTGTCCACTGTGCCCTGACTCTTCTTTGTGAATCATATTTATTACTTAGAATCCATGATCATCAGAACAATATTCTATGAAAAGACCGAGAATTGTATATAATATTTATATATAATACACAAGATAGACTTTTACCACATCCAACGGCCTTAGTCCATGGGGGAAAAACATCTTTGTAATGAGCTTTCACGAGGGGAGACTCTTTCAGGAGTGGAAGTAGAGGAAGAGCAGATACAGAACCCCCACCTACACCACCCTTCTCTCCCTCACCAGGGCAACATTCCACCTTTAGTGAAAGTATTCTGGGCTGAAAGATTCCATGAAGGTCTCATAAGGGTCCCATAAAGAACCAAGGGGGCCCACAAGAACCTCTTGTTCATCTCCTTTATTTACGTAGTCCCCAACAGTTTTCTTTTTTCAGCATAGAAATGGCCTAGTTCTTCAATCTGGCCTCCTCTTGTAGTCAGGAAAGCTAAACTAGTTCTGTGAGTTGGGGATATGGCTCAATGGTAGGGCACAGGCCTTCCACATATGGAGGCAGGTGTCTATCCTGGCTGTGCAGAAACAAATAAAAGTTTAGTGAAAAAATATTGGCCATAGACTAGAATTGAATTTTATATTTTGAGTATGATCTGACAAATATTTTGTAAGTGTCATAAAATTTAAAGTATTTAAAGTACTTTAAAAACATCACATACAGAAGAACTTAAAATATTCTTAAGGCCAGGGCCAGAATGCAGCAGGTAGGGTATTTACCTGACATACAGCTGACTGGGGTTCAATTCTTGGTACCACATATGGTTCCCTGAGTCCCCCTAGGAGTAAGCCTTGAGCACTGCTGGGTGAGACCCAAAAATAAACAAAAAAAATTGAAAGTTTCATGAAATCTAAAAAACAGCTCTTGGGACTGGAGCGATAGCCCAGCGGGTAGGGCGTTTGCCTTGCATGTGGCTGACCCAAGTTTGATTCCCAGCATCCCATATGGTCCCCCAAGCACCGCCAGGAGTGGTTCCTGAGTGCAGAGCCAGGAGTAACCCTTGTGTATCGCCGGGTGTGATCCGAAAAGAAAAAAAAAACAGCTCTTAGTGTGAGCGTTACAGAGAGATTCATTCTAAAGAGACAGTGTGGGAAAGAGAACAAGGAGCATAGATACTCTTGGGAGTGGGTTAGGTGAAGGAGGATAATTAATGTGGATAACATAAGTAGCGTAAGGAGATGATGGATGGTATTAGGCACTTTGGTGGTGGTGAGATGCAGAAACTATATTAAGACTGTAAATGTCACTGTGATTATAACAATAGATATATTTGTATGTACAAAATAAAACATATGTCTTGAAATAGAGTAACTGAGGTACATGTGTCATCAGGGAGTGAGGGTGATCATTAACTCTGATGACCAAATGGCTCCTGCATTCCCTGAAGTGCTGTTGAGAATGACACTGTGTCTGTGGCCTTCGCACACCCCTAGCCTTGGGCACCACACCCAAACTAAGGGGCTTTCTCATATGTGTAGCAGAGCAGTCTCCTTACAATGCCATTTCATCCAAGACAAAGTGAATCTGAGACCGACTCAGCTGGAGGTGCCTTTGGGAGCATGACAGGGACGTCACTTAGGGTGCATGATCCTGGGATGGGATCTGAGGAGAGAAAAGAAAACAGTAACATCCAAAGAGTGTGGAGATTCATGATACTTTCCTGACATGGACTTATTAGCTGTATAAATGTCGTAGTGATAAAAAAAAAAGTGAAGAATGTTTCTAAGAAAAGGAACAGGAAGTGGAAGGAAAGTTCCCTTGTAGTCTCCAGGTTTGGCATCATGGGCTGGAGAAAGAAGTTATGGGTTACATTTTGGAACCCCAGACACAGCACAAGGCCCCAGAGATTTCCTTTCCTCTACACCCCGCCTGGCTCCTGAGCCTGACCCCAGGACTGCTCTGAAGGCACCTTCATCCTGGATGTCCTCCTCCAGGTCAGCATCTCAGCCTGAGTCAGACCCCCCCCCCCCCGCTCCCCCTCCCCCACCCGCGCCCCTGCAAAGTAGGAGCGAGCAGAGCAGTGGTGCCCCCGTGGGGCCTTATGGAGAAAGAAAACTCCGTTTTAATGGTGCTTCCTCAGCAGGGCAATCTGGGCTCTCCTTAACAGGACACGCTGTGCTCACTAGGGGGAGCCCTATAGGCGTCATGTGCTGTGAATAATTTCCCTAAACACATTCACATGGAGGGCTCCTCTTCATTCATAACCATGACTACTGGCTCAAGAGTGATTAAACGGCCCAAAAGGGGGGAGAGAGAAACAAAAAGGAAGATGCCTGCCACAGAGGGAGGGCGTGAGTTGGGGTGGGGGTGGCAGGAGGGATATTGAGGACTTTGGTGGTGGAGATCATGCACTGGTGGAGGCAGGTTTGTTCAATCATTGTATGACAGAAACTCAATCATGAAAGCTTTGTAACTATCTCACGGTGATTGAATAAAAAAATTTTTTAAAAGAGGGGCTGGAGCAATAGCACAGTGGGTAGGGCGTTTGGCTTGTACGCAGCCCACCTGGGTTCGATTCTCAGCATCCCATATGGTCCCCTGAGCACCACCAAGAGTAATTCCTGACTGCATGAGCCAAGAGTAACCCCTGTGCAAAGCCGGGTGTGACCCAAAAAGAAAAAAAAAGAGTGATGAGACAACATGTGCATGAGAAATCCTTGTAAATAGCATTGTAAACCACAAGATCTCAATAAAAAATATTTAAATACAAATAAACAACAAGGACTCTAGGCCTTCAGTGCTCTACCCAGACCCACAGTGAACTACAAAAACATACTGGTGCCCTCCCTGTGCTGAGATGAGATGTTGATCCTCATTCTCTGTCACTTCTACTGCTGGTGACTCCATCAGAACCAACTCTAAAATTTCATCCCTAGGATGAGGTGGAGGAAGAAGGAGGAAAAAGAGCCCCAGGGCTCTGGGCTAGGAATATAGGGGAATGTCTTGTGGAGAAGTGAGATAGGAGGAAATAGTGACTTTAGGGGATGGAGGCCAAATAAAGTGAAAAGGGAAGAAGCAGAGGAAAGGGGCAGGGAAGGGCCAGCTACTGGACACCTGTGGGGGAGGGATGAAATCCGTGTGGATCAGGCACAGGAAGGAGGAGTAATAGAGTCTGTTTGTCTTTTGAGGTCAGTTATTGGATCAGGCGTTAGCTCTGTAATTGACTGGAAAACAACAGTTGACTCTCAGGCATTTCCCCGTGCTTTGAAGTATGACATAACTCAAACACAGGGAAGAGTAGAGAATAGGGGAAAGGAGAGGAGAGGAAGGGAAGGGAAGGGAAGGGAAGGGAAGGGAAGGGAAGGGAAGGGAAGGGAAGGGAAGGGAAGGGAAGGGAAGGGAAGGGAAGGGAACTGGAGCTGAGGAGAGGGGAGAGGACAGAAGATATTAAGGACTTCTCCCCTCTAGAGTAAGATCAATTTATGATGATGGGAGAATAAAGGGACCCAGAAGGCGGAAGGGAGAAAGGCACATGTAACCTTCGAGGGGTCAGCCCTGGACATTGGTCCTCGACATTCCAGAATTCCACAGAATGTGAAACTGACAGCTGTAGGCCATGGCATGTGCTACTGGGAAACTTTTGTGGGAGAGGGGATAAAAAAATCCAGCATCTGAAAGGTGGTAATACGTTATTTAGGAAATCCTGCCAGGATCAGCACTGTAAATTAAAGTGTAAAACTTAAAATAGCTGGTGCTGGAGTGATACTACAATTTGTTGGGCATTTGCTTTGCTCATAGTCAACCTCACACCTAGTCCCTTCACCCTCCTCCATTCACTGTTTGAATGGCTGGTGGGAATTTCGTTGAGCTGCACCTGGGGGAAGCATCTGGACATCAGTGACCCCTAGGAACGTGGAGGTAGGTGAGCTATACCTCCAGTTCTGCCTGGGCTGGTTTTCCAACCCCATTTATGCTGGTAACTACCCCC